TGGGAGAAGGTACAAATTTAATGAATGGGGAAATTTTAATATGAGCTAGCAGCACATTCTGCCATTTACCTTCATATGAAGCAGCTCTAAGAGCGTCTAAGAAGTTTTATTTTGGGAGAAGGGAAATCTAGAGTGGCTCTACATGCAGCTAGGGAAATAATAACTTGGCAGCAGATGAAAACAGAACGATAGGTTGCCATAATTAGCAGAATGGCTGGGCACTCTGATTCTGGAAACTTCTGCTGGATTCTGGATGTCATGAACACAAAGATCCAGGGCAGGCACTGCACTTTCCCCTTGGCCTTGACAGGTTATGGGGAATCATGACAAGCTTTGTTTGTGTGAGCATAAAAAATAGGTGTTTTGACTACAAGTTTGTGCAGCTGTTGTTGGTAATGAGGAGCTCAACCCACACTGCTGCTTGTTGTGTTATTGTTTCATTTGTTTGTTGTAGTGATTTTAAATAGAGAAAGAAAAGAATTGGGGAAAAGCCTTGAACCAAAGCAATCAGGCAACTTCAATAATGAAATGCTACCCAGGCTTTGGTGATAGGAAATCTATGCAATCCCACAGCTAATGCTGTTCTCACTATAGGGATTCATTGAGCCTATTTTATCAGCTCAGTGGGGTTCAATGCCTCTTTTCTCTGATGAGGTGGGGGGGTGTGGAAAGCAGAATTATCACCAGGGTAATGAAACACACCCCTCCCGCATTTATGGAGTGTTTTATTAAAAGCATGTTACTTTGGGGGCGCCTGGGTGGCTCAGTTGGTTAAGCGACTGCCTTCGGCTCAGGTCATGATCCTGGAGTCCCTGGATCGAGTCCCGCATCGGGCTCCCTGCTCGGCAGGGAGTCTACTTCTCCCTCTGACCCTGCCCCCTCTCATGTGCTTGCTCTCTCTCATTCTCTCGCTCTCAAATAAATAAATAAAATCTTTAAAAAAAAAAAAAAGCATGTTACTTTGGCGTCATATACAATGAGTAGGTAAAAAATGCCAAAATAGCTTTCAGGGGAAACACTTGCCTTTGTGCTAATTTCAAATTCTTCAAAGAGCATGCAGTCAGGTGTGATGTTAATATTTTGTCTCTTTGCTACATGAGCTTTTCGTAAAGGAGTTGGTAGGTGCAACATAGTAAAGCAATCCACAGAATTTTAGAATTACCTAAGGCCAGCAGTTCACTATGATCTGTTTTCAGAACCTTCTTGTCCTTCCTGGCATCCCACACTCTCAAGTTTATTTTCTTATGTCATTAATCATGAGGGAATTCTAGTGAGTGAGCAGGCCAATAATATTTTACTTATTAATACTGCTACTAATCATGCTTTGTTTTTTGTGTCTTAACTTTTTATTTTGTCAGTGAATTTTCCCAATTTACTTAGTTTCTGAACATTTTAACCCAAGTTCGCTTTTTGTAAACTTTACCATTAGTTCCATCCAATTAGCATTTTATTCTCCAGCTTATCTCCATCCTAATTCTTCCAAAACTTTAGGGCCTATGATAAGTTCTAGGACAATTAATTCCTACCACACTATGTAGTCTATAGAGGAGATAGACTTGTAAAAAAAATAAATTCAACACAGTGTGATCAGGATAATAATAGAGGTGTTTGAAGAGAGAGGTGTAATTGAGAAAAGTGATGTTTGAGTTGGATAATAAAAACTGAATGGAAATTCACCAGACTGTGAAGAGAAAGGTGCTCATGCCAGGGAGAGAGACACGCACATCCAAGGGCACAGAGTCATGGAGGAGCAGAATGTTTGGTATGTTCAGAGAGTAGCTGGTCATTCCATGCCCATGAAGTGGGAGTTAGAGGGCAAAAGATAAAGCCAGACATGCAGAATCCAAATTGCCAAGGGCCTTAAGTTCCACACAGTTGGGCTTGAGCTTTACCCTACGAGTACTGGAAGGGCAGTCAATGGCTTTTCAGTAGGGAGAGTATATTTAAAGCAGCATCTTAGATTACTCTGACCGAAGGAGGCAGAAGGGTTTGGAGTGGACTTGACTGGAAGCAGGAGATCAGTTAAGAGGCTGTGACAACAGTTCTGAATATATCTGAAGGGAACTCCAACTTGGGCTGGGGCCCTTGGGATGGAGAGACTTTGCTGAGCAAAGATCAAATGAACTTGGTAGACAGCTGTTTGAAGCAGAGAAGAGGAGAGGGAGAGAACACAAGTCTGAGGTTTCTAATTTGAGGTGTTGACTGGTGCTGTGTCAGTTAATGCAGATGCATGAAGAGAAGGTTCTTTACCTATATTTTAAGGACAAGAAGTTCAGTTTCAGAATGAGAGGTTCCGAGTACCTCTGGATATCCAAGTGGAGATGTCTAGTATTTAGTTAGATGAAGAGGCTGGAGCCCAGGAAGGAAGTTTTGACAGGAGACATGGATCTGAACATGTGGGGACTTATTATTGGTGAGCCTGAATCATGACTTTCAGTGCTATTAATAAACCTATGCATGCACCTTCATGACATAGATGGCTCCTTTAGAGGTTACTCTGAGTATTTTTACATCTTCTGTTGCTGTGTGAGATCTGTACTTCTGGTACTCTTTCACCCCAAATGGAGTAGAGGCCCATCCATTTTTCTTTCTTCAATGTCATCCTATTGAATATTCAACAAGGTGAAGGGAGAAATTGGACTGAGGGGGCCTGGTAATCACTTGAGGCTTTTCACAGATGCTCCAGGTCCCCTCTTCTGCCTGGAGCAGTAAGATTTTGTCTTTTGGGCCCCTGGAGATTTAGCTATGTCACTAGTTTTTAGCTCTGAAAAAGTGAGTAGACAGATCATGTCATTCCTATGCAGAAGCTTTAAGAGCGAGTTTGCGAATCACCACACCCCCCTTTTCTGCCTCTGCAGACAGGAGACAGGAGCCCTCATCAGCCAAGGTTCCTGAGTGAGTGTAATAAGCAGAGTCCCCCATATGACCCACTTAGCGAGTGTGAGTGAGTAATAAAATGTCCTGCAGTAAACCACTGAGCTTGTTATTCTCAGAGCATAAACCAGCCAGTCTGACTGGCAAAGAGCTAACCAGACGTGGGCTCAAGCTCAGGCTCTGTCACGAATTAACTAATTCTGAGCAAGTTGCACAACTTCTCTGAGCATCAGTTTCTTCATTTTTGGAATGGGAATAATGATACTGAGTTTGCCAGCACTCTGTGAGGATTAGAGACGAAGGATACAGAGTACCTTATAATAGTAATAGCCATTCACGAATTTGCAGCTATTGTTATATTTATGGACAGTTACTCATTTTTAATATATTGATTTTGTAATATCATTTCAAGTTTGTGTTGTACTCAGGTTTCTTGAACATATTATCTATATGTTTATCTGAGCAGTTGCTACTAAAGGGAAACAGGATAAAGCCACAAGGACATAGCTGGGTGGTCATGCCAACATAGATCTTTTCATAGATATGCTGTTTATTCATGGACTGTCTTTAGATAGTGTTGCACCAACAATTCTCCTTGGAATAGCCCCAAATTTTTCATCTTGTCCATGAAGATACAAAGCTCTTCTCAAAAGTGCCATATAAAAGGGGTGCCAGTCACCTTGCTAAGACTGCATCTGAGATAATCACTTGGGTTTCTTAAATATTTGTAAACTATCTGTTTAGTAATATTCTGGATTCCACCACCACCCCAGGACAAGCCTATTGTTGTGTGTGTTCTGAAATACACAAATAGTTTCTTAACTATTTTATTTACTTTCAGTGTAATCCTATACCAAAACTTACGTCATTCTGCCATCATAGGGCAATCTATCATAATCCGATTATCAGCTTATGCCATACCCTTTATTTAAAACTCTCCATTGGTCCCACAAGACTATTGCTCACATGATAAAGTTTATGGAAGATTTGATTCATTCGAGTTATCAATTAAAAAAACCTAAATCTGTCATGGAGAAGCATATAATACACCCTTGATTTATGTGGCCGATAAATTTAACTGTTAGAAAATAGAAGAAAGGATGATAAGAATTACATCTCATAACTTCATTTTGAAAAACAAAAATAGGCATTGTGGAAGAGATGGGAACTTTGGGACAACGTGACCTTGACAAACAGACGTAGCAGAACTAGAGAAAGACAAGAAGTAAATAAGGTAAATGTAGTTCTAGAATAATAGAAGAATTGCCTTGAGAATTAGGTTTGAGACCTATAAAAGGGAATATCATCACTTCCTGTGATGGTGTGGTCAGACTATGAATCCTCTTTCTTCCAAGAATGGTATAGGCTGGAAATAGAGTCTAAACAGGTTTAGATAGATTTATAAATACATAATGTACCATAGAGGACAGGACAGGTCATAAGAAAATAAGTATGGTATTTGAAGGGAACTTTGGATTACCCTATTTTATAAGAGGGAACTTATAGTGGATGATTCAGAAGCCAGACCAAGTTTAGCCATTTCTTTGTTCTTATGTTAGGTATTATCACAGTTCAGTTACTCAAAGGAACAAATTGCCACAAGTTCACCAATGCCTTTGATTGATGACAAAATCATTTCCATATATATTTTTGTATATATATATATATATATATATATATATATATATACTGATATTATGAGATTAATAATTTAAAAATTTTTTTAAATTCAGGAAGGAGGCACAGACTTCTAGTCTGCATAAAGCATACTAGAGAATGTTGGAAGTCACAGGCCTGAAAATACTTAATTACAAGTGTGTATTTTTAAAAATAATCTATCCCTCAGGAGCTGTCATCATACCCCTTCCCTAGGTAGCCAAGTTAATTGGGAAAAAGAAGAATGTGTGCATTGGAGTTCAGACTTACACACTCTGAAGTGCCCCTTTCCTGTGACCCTAGGCAGCACCCTGTCGTCGCCCCCCCCCGCCCCCCCCCATTATACCTGTGTAATGGCCTTTCAGAAATGACAAATAGTTTCTCTTAGGTGGAAAGATTTAACTGGCAATTAAAGAGGCATCCTAAGCTTAAAAAAAAGTAACTGTAACTTCCTAATTTTATTTTCCTAGCATCTGTTCTATTCAAGCCAAGCCTACTGTGGTGATCTTCATGGAGACAATTCAGTGGTTTCCTAGCAACCAAGTTTCCTGTGGTTTCCTTGGTTATAAGCAACGACATAACTCTTGTGGGCAACTTCAAAGCACAGAAGAAAACCCTCCTAAAGAATGAGCTTCCAAAAAATTCAGGTTACTGCTTGCTGAGTGTCTCTGTTTATAATGAAGAACTCTCTCCATGGACATTAATAACTCTAATAAATAATTATGTGGACATTGCAAAGTAAAATCATGTTAGGTTTATGCATTCTTTTTCATTGTTTTTGTAATATGCCTGATTCTAATTTTTTCCCTGAAATTGGGATACTTTTCCTATCTCTTTTGATTGACTATCATCCATAGACATACCTACCAGATGAAATTTAGTCAACTTTTTATAATTGCATGAGGGGTCATTTAAGAAGACAGCAGAGTTGTGGTTGCTCAACAGTAGGACCCAATAATATCATCTTGTTTTTACTGAGTAAGTGTGTATTAGAGGCTTAGATGGATGGTTGGTGGGAATTCATTAAATGACTGTAAACTTACACTGACCAGTACATTTCTAGTGCAGTATGACTAACATTAATGACTTCTACCTACTGAATTGTTTTTTCCTTTTATATTCATTTCCGTAGAAGAACTATATTGAGTAGCTGTATTCTCGGGTGATATATCTAAAATCCCTTAAATGTCAACAGAAGAAGGAAATAGAAGCGTACGTGATTAGAAGTAGAGTTCGTGCCACATAAACTATTCGTCTTTGCATCTTTGATGCCTATACTAGAACACAGCTTGTGGTAAATATGGAAGCCTGAATTAATGAATGACAAAGCTCAACAGCTCCTTTAGTTTTTCCAGTAGGAATCAAGATATTGTGTGTGGATTAACAGGCTAAAATAATGAACTTTGGAGAAGGAGAAAAATATAATGAATTCTGTGCATAAGAATTTTTTTTTAAAGATTTTATTTATTTATTTGACAGATAGAGGCACAGCGAGAGAGGGAACACAAGCAGGGAGAGTGGGAGAGGGAGAAGCAGGCTTCCCGCCAAGCAGGGAGCCTGATGCGGGGCTCGATCCCAGGACCCTGGGATCATGACCTGAGCCGAAGGCAGACGCTTTACGACTGAGCCACCCAGGCGCCCCTGTGCATAAGAATTTTAAATTGTGAGTCAGTATATTTCTTTTCATGCTATTCATTTATACCTTCAAGTATTTAATATGGACCTACTATATCCCAGGCTGTGTGCTAAATGTTTAGAGTAAAATGGTGGATAAAATTAAAATGACTCCTGGGGTGCCTGGGTGGCTCAGTCAGTTAAGAGTCTGCCTTTGGCTCAGGTCATGATCTCAGGTCCTGGGATCAAGCCCTGCATCAGGCTTCCTTCTCAGCGGGGAGTCTGCTTCTTCCTCTCCCTCTGCTTCTCCCTCCTCCCCCGTCTCCTACTCTCTTGCTCTCTCTCCTCTCAAATAAATAAGTAAAATTTTAAAAAAATTAAAATGATTCCTGCTTCAAAGAACTAGGAAAATAAAATTATTGGGAATTATAAATTAATTAAATAATAGTCCAAACGAAAGTAAAATTACAACTTTAATAAATAATGTAAAGAAAAGCTGCATAATGCCATGAGTTTAACAAGGAAACCTGTTCTGATTTGGGAGTGGGGTGGTCAGGGACAATTTTTCAGAGGAAGTAACATTTAAGCTGAGAGACAAAGGATGAAGTAGGTGTGACAAAAGAAAATATGAGTGTGGGTGGGGAAAAGCATAGACAGAAGAGCATGTGCAAAGGACCTGTGACACTTCAGACGAGCCAAAGGAATTCAGTGAAACTGAATTTCAGAAAGAGGAAGTGAGCACAGAATGAGAGGAGGTTTCAGAGGGTTCGGAAGGGTCCCTCAACTGGTCTTATAGGCCATGTTCAGCATTTAGGAACAACAATCTAGAAGTTTGGAAACATTGCACATAGTTGCACTTTACCATTTTATAGTAATAAATGTTATCTTAAAAATCACTTAAGATCTTGATTTGAAGGTGAAAACGGAATTTTGAGGTTATGAAAGAATTGAGTAGCTACAGGATATGGCTGCTGGTGTGAAGGTGGCATTGGAACAGACTGTGCTAGTGGATGAGGGGTCTAATTTAGAAAAAATTGAAAGCCAGACAGCAGCTTTAATAATCCAGGCAGGAAGGCTAGAGGCCAGAGGCTCAGAAGCAGTTAAAGAACATAGCAATACAGGGGGGTAGACAATAGAATTTATTGAAGATGATTTTTATGGCAGATGCTTTATATACATCATTTCTTTAGTTCTAACAACTGCATGGCAAAGTGGGTATTATTTTCCCTCTTTTTTATATTTTTAAGAAATCAAGGAATAGGGACTGTAAATAATATGCCCTGGATAACACGATAGCAGTGAGGCTGGGATTAGAATCTAGAACTTTGTTGGGTTCTAAAAGCTGTGCTTTTTTCCAGTATAAAAATTCATTTTCCACTCTTTTGTGCTGTAGTTTGGGTCATAGAGTCTTGATATCAAGATGCCCTTTATGTATAGTGTCTGGCAGCAATGAGGGAAGCAAAGACATATCCTAATCTTGCTTAACTGAGGCTTCTAGAATATAGGTAACACTAAGCCCAATTTAGCAGAACTAATTTTCTTCTTTATTATTTTTTAGTAAAACTATTTATTTTTATATTTATTTTTCAAGCAACTTTATTGAATTATCCTTAAAACTGCATGCCTAGCAATCATTTTGAAATTGATGTATCCATATTTGTTGTATTTAGTTTGGTATCAAGAGGAAGACTAACAAAGCAGTTTACCTTTATGGTCCTCATATCATAGAGTCAAACATTTAGAATTAGAAGGGACAAAGAGGTCATTTGAGCCCCTGAAGTTCATTCATACATTCAGCGATTTTTTAAATTGAATTTCTACTATATGCTAGGTACAGTTTTCTAGGTATTGTGAACACTCCATTGAACAAAGTCCTTGACATCATAGGAAACACATAATCTAATGAATTGTATTCATAGTCAGAGAGTAGGAAATGATATGAAGTAAAGCAAATGGATGGAAGCAGTAAAAGGTGGTCAAGAAAGGACTATCTGAAGGAGGTGACCTCTGATAAAGACATTTCTCCTAAGAAGACATACAGATGGCCCACAGACACACGAAAAAATGTTCAACATCACTGGGCATCAAGGAAATACCAATCAAAACCACCATGAGATACCACCTCACACCAGTCAGAATGACTAAAATTAACAAGACAGAAAACAACAAATGTTGGCAAGGATGTGGAGAAAGGGGAACCCTCTTACACTGTTGTTGGGAATGCAACTGGTACAGCTACTCTGAAAAACAGGATGTAGGTTCTTCAAGAAGTTAAAAATAGAGCCACCCTATGGGCCAGCAATTGTACTACTAGGTATTTACCCCAAAGATACAAATACAGTGATCTGAAGGGGCACCTGCATTCCAATATTCATTAGCAGCAATGTCCACAATAGCCAAACTGTGAAAAGAGCCGAGATGTCCATTGACAGATAAATGGATAAAGAAGACATGGTGTATGTATATATATATATTGGAATATTACTCAGCCATGAGAAAGGATGAATACTTACCATTTACATTGACATGGATGGAACTGCAGGGTATTATGCTGTGCAAAATAAGTCAATTAGAGAAAGACAAATTTTCATATGGTTTCACTCACATGTGGAATATAAAAAACAGCACAGAGGATCATAAGGGAAGGGAGGGAAAACTGAATGAGAAGTCATCAGAGAGGGAGACAAACCATGAGAGCCTCTTAACTATAGGAAACAAACTGAGGGTTTCTGGAGGGGAGGTGGGTGGGGAGATGGGGTAACGGAGTCACGGGCATTAAGAAAGGCACGTGATGTGATGAGCACTGGGTGTTATATGCAACTGAGGAATTATTGAATACTACATCTGAAACTAATGATGTAGTATATGTTGGCTAATTGAATTTAAATTAAAAATAAAGAAAGAAACCCAAGGGAAGCTAAGGAGTGCCATATGGAAGAAGAGAATTCAAGGCAAAGGGAACAGAAAGCACAGAGACACTGAAAGAAATAGCGTTCTTGGCAGGTTGGAAGAAGGGCTGCACTTAAGATTTTATAAAAACTAAATGGTTAATGATGGTTAATGATTATTTAAGCTAATAAACTGAGTTTATAGTCCTTTTGTAACAGAAAAGACTTTCAAAGATCTATCACTTACCTAATGACTACTGAGTCTCTGCCCAGAAACCATCTAAATCCAAATCTGGCTTCTTTTAGTTTTGAGAATTGTATTGAAAGCAATTTCTTTTCATTATTAGGATTTAATCTCCTAAAAACTAAAAATCACTCTCAGCTTACAAACTTTGAGAATCATTTTAGAATTATTAAGGGAAATACACAAATGGACTCAGAGGGAGAACAGCTCTCTATTGGCGCACAGTATTTTATAAATTATGAAAACTCTAGAATTTTAGGACTGAAAGTGATCTCCAACGTCATATGGAAGCACAATGATAATACCTAACAACACTTATAAAACCAGTCACACTTCTGAATGCTTAACCTCATGTGAACATATTTTGTCCTCACAACCTTTGCCAAAGTTATTATTATCATCTCTGTTTTAAGATGGGGGAAATGGAGGAACACAGGGGTTCAGGAATTTCACCAAGATTATACAACTAATAAGCATTCAACCTGGGCAGTCTGACTCCAGAATCTGCATTTAACCATTGCCTACAGACAGTATGAAGAAACAGAGACTGATGGTTTAGTGAGTTTTCCAAGGTCACACCCACACAGGTAGAATTTCAGCCTTATCGTATATGACCCCAGAATATGAGTCTTAATCAGTATTCCACTACAGAGCATCATCCATCTTTGAAGAATATCTCATGACTATCTCCATTTAAACTCCACACTGGGAGAGAACTCTGTCTAGGAGAATGCACATGGGCATTTTTAGCTAGAAGAACCTTTACTTAAATCCAGTTTTGTACTTGCTAGCTTGCAATCCCAAGCAAGTTAATTGACTTCTCTTAGTTTGCTTATCTATAAAATGTGGATAATCATACTTGCTAAATAATGTTGTACAGAGAAAGGAATGATGTAAAGTGCCTCACACAGTACTGAGTGTATATGAGGTAATTAAAAATGGAGCAATTATTATTATTCTGAAGAGGCAACTAAGATCAGAGAAATTACATCACAGAGCTAGTAGCGGAATATCCAGGGTACAAATTAGGTTTCTTGATGACTATATTTCTAGCACTGAACTACACAAAGGACATAGTAGTGACAAGATTCATAAAAAGTAACCTGCCAATTTATCTGTATGTCTCTTATTATTCCAGTTCAAAATCTGTGGTTTTACTTCCCCAAGCTAATTTACTGGACTTCAAGTTTGAACCATGCTACTTCTACATGACATATAATGTCAAAGAATTCTGTGTAATATAATATATATTACTCTTCCTCTCCCAATTAGATTATAAAATTCTCATGGAGGGATCTGTTTCTTGGTCGTGTGTTTTTGTATTTCTCTATTTTTGAACTTCACCTTCCACCAGTGTGGAAGAAAGTTCTTTGATATGAGCAAACCCACATATGATTCAATGAGTTCTTTTTTTTTTTTTTTAAAAAAGATTTTATTTATTTATTTGACAGAGAGAGACATAGCGAGAGCAGGAACACAAGCAGGGGGAATGGGAGAGGGAGAAGCAGGCTTCCCGCCGAACAGGGAGCCCGATGTGGGACTCGATCCCAGGACCCTGGGATCATGACCTGAGCCGAAGGCAGATGCTTAACAACTGAGCCACCCAGGCGCCCTGATTCAATGAGTTCTGACAAGTGTATAGAGTTGTGTAGTCACCACCACAATCTGATATGGAACTGCTCTGTCCAAAATTGTAGCCACTAGC